CCGGACGCCCCCAAAGTGATGATGGGCACGTTCTTCGCGGAACGCGTCGATGCGACCTTCGCCTTCTCTTTGCAGTAGTTGAGGTCGATGTCCAAGGCCTGGATGGGGACCAGCGTGCCGTCAGAATACTTGAGCCTCATCTCTGGCTTCACCGCGTGCTGGAGTCTGGGGGCTTTGTCCATGACGACCAGATCCTCAGAGACCATCATCATCTCGAAGCAGCCGTCGCCCGCGGCACTCCAGTTACCAGGCACCTGGAGATCGCGTCCACGGCGCCCCTCAGCCTCGCAAGACTGCATGAGGAACCTCTTGAGGGTCGGGATGTGCCGCAGCGACCCCACCAAGTTCAACTCCCTGCCCTGGCCAGTGACGAACTCGAAGTGGTCTGCCAACTTCTTCTGCTTCTCATCGACCTTCCCGTTGCTGGTAATTACCTTCAGGGCCAGCGCGGAGCGGGACGCGGGCTCGCAATGGCTCAAGAGCTCGACCATGATGGGGACGGAACAGTTCTCGAACCTAGTGCACCGGAGCGGCAGCCAATGCGCAGGGCTCGGATCCTCGATGCCAGCTCCCGTCCTGGCTCTGCTCCCGCCAATGCCGCTCTCCGCACTATCTCCACCGTCGGCGCCAGCCTCGATGGGAAGAAGAGCGAGTTCAGCCACGCCGTCAGCAAGAGCGTCGTCAGACTTAGCCTTCTTCTTGGCGGTGCCCTTGCCGAGGACGACGGGTAACCCGATGCCCTCCAACAACTCTTTCACTGGGTCAAGGCGCGACGGGTTCTCCTGAATGGTTTTGAATATCGCCTTCCGCTTGTCGTTCGCAGCGATCTCCTGCGCTCGAATCCTGAGGTGCTCTGCCTTCTGCTTTGCGTCCATCTCACGGAACGCGGACCTCGCAGACAGCTTCGGGGCCGTGCTCTCTGCAGCTCCTGAGGACATGGCAGCGCACGCACGGCGGCTCTTGCGCCAGGGAGCGTCGCCGCAAGCTCGTAACAACTCTAGACAGAAAATGGGGCCCATGATAAAAAGAACAATGCTGCTACCCATGCTGATGTGACCAATGACACTGACGCCCATGAGCTAATACCAATGTTGCCCACAATGGTGGCATTCCCCCTAAAGCGCATAGCGAGGTTCCCCCAGACGTTGGCTACCTTGTTGTGGACGGCTGAGGGAACGCACAGCCTGTGATTCATATATTGTGGCATCCCCTAGAGTATCCTAAACCCAATCATAGTACAACTTGATCAGAAATGCTCTCCATGTATGTCGGTATGCTAACACACGTAGCTAGTGATGTGTAATACGTAGTGCAAGTGTACAAGTGTGTCTACTTCTCGCTCTCGCGCCACTCACGCAATGCATTATCAATATGATTCGGGAAATTCTAGGACATGATTCGAAAACACGGTCCTATACCACCCATATCCTATACCACCCCTATTCGTTTTTCCGAGTCTTCCACGGGCGCCACCGCGAGCCTGCCGTCGCGGGCCAGGCGAAGATGCGCATCGCGGGGGGCCGGCAGGCCCTGCGCGTAGGGCTTCGCACCGACCGCCATGTTTGCACAATCCCTTCTCCCATGCAGCATACAAAACTGCGCTATCCTTTCGCTGAGACTCGCACTTCAAATTGTCTCGGTTGCGCGCGAGTCGATGCATCTCGGTGTCCTCGAGGACTCTGGCGCGAAGCCATTCGTCAGTTTCATTCGGGTCTTTGGGCTTCATCTTGTTGCGCTCGCACATGTCCTGTTTCAAGCAAGGATGTCGACGTGTCTGAGCTCGGAACAAGGACTCAGTAATCTTGGCTTCAGGAGGTTCTCGACAATCTAATATAAAGGTACCCCGATACATGGCGAAACGTTAAAGATCGCTCTCGCGCGCGAAGGCTCTGAAGTCTCTCGAAGTCGCGCGTGGCGTCATCCACCTCGGTGACTTGGTAAGACTGTAGGATGCGTCAATAGATCAGGCGGCCCTTCAGCATGCATTATGCCTCGTGTTCCGGGCTGCGTTGTTCGAGGGGCAGGGCGACGGCCAGCGCGGCTGCGAGTCTGCCAATGATACCGTCGAAGCCGCAACTATCTGCAAGGTCTTCAAACTTGATGCCTGGGCGCTCAACGGCGCAGAGAAAGGCGCGGGCCTCGGGCCTCGGACGGGCGTCGAGAAGCACTGCCAAAGCCTTCTCGGACACGTTGCTGCAAGTCGTCCGCCCGCGTGGTCCCGGTGCGGCGCGCGAACGGCGTCAGACTCTCTGATTGGCGTCGCGCCACCAGCTGAATCCTGCGACGGGTTCTGAGATGGACGCGCAGCCGGGGGTGGCGAGGCTGCGCGATAACCGGAGGCAGCGCCCAGAGAGGCGCGTCGGGGTTGGCCCGTGCGGACGTTGCCATCAGCGATGGCAGCCGCAATGTGGGGGGCCGCGCCAACTGCGGGCACTGTGGGCGGGGGTATCGAGCGAAGAGCGGAGTCATTCACACATGTTGAAGAGGTCGTCAGTGGTCGCGAGGTCTTGCTGTAGCTGCTCCACGCAGTGTTGGAGATTGGCGTCGTCGTCGTTGGTCTGGGTAGCGCGCTGGGGGCACCGCTCAAGCCGTGCCTCCAGGTCTCGAAATCGTTGGTCATATGCTTCTTGCTGCCTGTCCAGACGAGTGACAGGTTCGTCGGCTCCCGCCTTTTTCAGCATCTCTTTCGCGGGAGACTTGGCCCAGCAGAGAATGCAAGTGGCCAGCCGCCTTCCTCTAATCACGCAACGCGGCAGTGACGGGGGCGCAATCGCAAATCGAAGTCGGGCTTGCCAACTGGCCAATCTGGGCCCGCGCGCCTTGCATGGCGGCCGCTGCGGCCCGCCGCGCTGCGACTCCCTGCTCGATCGCGGAGATCCGGTTGGCAAGCGTGGGCACGATGGTTTCCGATGCATCAAGACGTTGAACGATGGCGTTCTCGGCGGAACACAGTTTGCCGCGCAGATCCTGTTCGACGTTGGTGGTCTCGGCGTGGGCGCGCGCAGTCGTCGCCTCGAGACGATCGCGATGCTCGAGGAGTCCACCTCGAAGGGCTTCTTCTGGCACTCCAGATACCTCTGAAGCAAGACGCAGGGCCGTCTCGCGAATCTCATCGTAGAGGATCCGCGCGGCCTCTGCGCCCTGGTCGCGAAAGCCCGCGAGCTGGGCCTCCACTGCCTGGAGGTAGTCGCGGGGCGTCTGCAAGGACTGGGCGTCTTGACCTTGGCGTGACTCAGCGCGATCGACGTGGTATTGCACCTCGCCGAGGATTCGGCGGTCCCCAGCAATCCGAATATCGATCGTGCCAACGGCCTCATGAAGCTCGGCGCGCAGGATGGCCGTCTGGGACGACACTTCTGCGACTGTCCGAGCGACACCTGAACCAACCTGGTCTCCAAGCTCTGCTATGGTGTTGTCGGAAGACGTGGCGTGATGAGCGGCACGCGTGGTGTCGCGCCTTAATGAGGCCTGCCGCGAACGCCTTTGGGAGGGGCTGCGGCTATGATCTTGACGCTAAGAACTGATGTGACACCGATCAGGGGGCGCTCTGCTGTTCGGAGCACCTGGGTGGGGGAACGCAGGCGGCGGCTGTTCAGCCGAACTACTGCGGCCCTCGATGGCACGGATGTGCGCGGGAAAAGAGACAGACGCGGGGCTCATGGGGCCTCTCGCGTCCCAACGGCGGATGCGCGCGGAAGCGCGGGGGGTAGAACCCAGCGGCGCGCTCGTTGGGGATCGCTCACGACCCGCCGCAGGTGTTTCCACCGACGTCAAACGCAGCAGCAAGCGCGGGAGGTCGAGGAGCGAGAGCCTGAGGAAGGTGGGGGCCCTCCCCAAAACCAAGCGCGCGAAGTGTAGGGATCGCTCCCGACTTAGGCCGATAGCGTTCACTCGCCGCACGCAAAAGTTCAGCTTGCCTGCGTTCCTCTGTGTCGGTTCCTGTCACTGGGGTCTGGGGTATCACATCGTCTCTTACTGCCATCTCAAGGGTGCCGTCGAACCTGCGCAACGTCGGAGAGCTCTCACGCTGAACAGCGTCGCCCGCCACCGCAGGGGCGGCCATCGAAGCAACGAGAGAGATCGACGACGCAAGGTTCGTCGGCGGAAGAGCGAAGTAAGAAAGGGTGATAACATGTGAAAGGAAGGACAAAACCGAAGGGCCTAACCGTCCGTCCGAAGGGGGTCCGTAGGGAGAAGAAGGATGACATCGGTAAAAGGTTTTACCCCCCCCCCACCGCTGCCCAATCCTGTATCCAATATGGATGCTCCAATACCTCAACCGATAAGGGCAGCGGGAAAGAGACGTAAGACTGAGGAAGAGAAGGAAAACACACATTGTTCAAAGCAGTGCCCCGGCATTGTGTGCATCGGTTCCCTCATGAAAGGCTTTCGGATTACTACCCTGCCTTCACGTATACACATCTTTCCTCAGGATCATCTTCATCATTCTCTTTCTCTTCCTCCTCCACTCGTCCCCCTTTCCCCCTACACCTCCCCCTTCCTCGAGGACGACAGCCACGATGACGACGACTTTGCCCACGAAAACGAATACGACGGCCACGACGAAGATAAACATGACGACCACCACCACCACCAGCAACAACACCACTTTCACTGCAACAAGCACAACGACGACGACCGCAACGCCAAAGCCCAGGTAGCCGAAGGCCGCTGAAGGGCCACCGAAGACGGCGCCGGGCTCCTGGCCTGGCGACTACAGTCGCGACACGCCCGACAGCGACGACAACGACGAAGACGAGGACGACAACGACGACAACGACAACGACAACGACGACGACGACGACGACGACAACGACGACGACGACGGACGGACCGACGGCATCCGACTGCGGCGACGACGACGACAGCGATGACGACGACGACGACGACGGACGACGGTGACGACGACGACGAAGACCACGAGTGGCGACGGACGACGCGGACGACGACGCCGACGCCGACGCCGACGCCGACGCCGACGCCGACGACGACGACAGCTCCTTGTCTGGCGACCGCGGGCGCGTTCCGTCCCGCAGCGGCAAAGTGTCGCGCGTGCCCGCCTCAGCTTCGGCGCCGGAATCGTCAGCGTCGGCGTCGTCGGCGTCGTCGGCGTCGTCGGCGTCGGCGTGCTTCTCGTCGGCGTCGTCGCCGTCGCCGTGGTTGTCGTCGTTGTGTTCTACGTCGTCGTCTTGGTCGCGGTCTCGGGCGTCGTCCTCTTCCTCCACCTCCGCAGAGGAAGGAGGACGCCTGTGGAGGCCTCGGGGAACCTCTGGAAATCCCCAGAGGCCACTGGAGACCTCCTGAGGCCTCGGGAGAACTCCGCAGACGCCCCCTGGCGGCCGCTGGAGACCTCCACATACCTCCGAATATATCCGAGGACCTCTGTGGAGCGAGGTTTTGAAACTTCCTGGGCACTTGTGTGCTTCCATGGAAACGCTACTCGCTACGAGCCTCATGACCTGCGTTTCGCCTGAGACTTTCTCACAATTTCTGATCCTGAAGCTTGAAACTTGCAGCAGATTCACGCATATGGAAGGCGGGCCGTTTTCAAAATGTGGTTCTCGAATTAGCGCCGCGCACAATTTCCTTACAGGTCAACGGATGGAGGTGGGCCGTCCAAAAAGTCTAGCTTTCGCCTGAACCCCGCGCACATTCGTTTTTTAACTTTGCAGCGGCTTGGCGCATCTGGAGGGCGGGTCGTTTTGGAAATGTGGTTACCGATTTAGCGCCGCATGCATTCGTTGTTTTTAAAATGTTGCGGGAACTTTGCGGGGAAAAGGTGGGCCGTTGTCAAGATATCGTTCTCATCTCAGCGCCGCGCACAATCTTCTTAACAACTTGCAAGAGGTTCAAAGATGGAAGGCGGTTCTTTTCAAAAATGCGGTTCTGGCCTATGCGCCGCGCATATTCGCTTAAACTGTTTGCAGCACTTTCAAGAATTCGTATGTGTTAAAATCCCAGCAACTGCGCCCTGGCAAAATGTAGAATTGACAAAACGAAACAATCACGGTGAGTCGCGGTATTGAAGTCCAAGGAATGGTGCTGTGGCACGGCTCATGGTCGACAGGGCGCCACAATCACGTTGATGCGCGGCGCTGGTCCCGGGACTGGTTTGTTGACACGATTGAAGATTCTCACACGGTTGTCTCCCAATCACTTCTCGCAATGACAACTACCTCCAGCCCTTGTCTAAACATATGGCGTGTATATAATATGGAGAGCGCGTTTCACGGGCGCTTGCCTTGGGAACATTCGGCGGCGCGTTTCGAACTGGGGGGCGGCCCCCCCCAAGACTCGGCGCCGTCGATCAGAACCAGGGGGGCCCCCCTCCACCCTGACCCCCCCCCCTTCCGAACCCCCCCCTCTCTCCAACGGGGGGGGTTCAACCTCCCCCCCTTCAGCGCCGGCGCCGGCGCTGGCGGCCGCCAGCAGCGCCGACAGCGGGGACGCAGCGACGATGACTAGAGGCCCCCCCTCCGCGCCGGCGCTGGCGCCAGCGCTGGCGGCGCCCAGCAGCGCCGGCGGCGGGGACGCAGCGACGATTACCATCACTACCACCACCACCACCACTACCACCACCGCCACCACAACCCACCACCACCACCAACCCACCACACAACCACCACCACCACAGCCACCACCACCACAACCACCACCACCACCACCACCACAACTCACCACCACCACTACAAAAACTTACCACCACTACCACCACCACCACCACAATCTACCACACCACCACCACCGCCACAACCACCACGACTACCAGCAGCACAACCCACTACCACCACCACCACCACAAACCACCACACCACCACCACCGCCAACACCACCACCACCGCCGGCACCACCTCCGCAAAACACCGCCACCACAACCCACCACCACCACCACCACAAACCACCACCACACCACCACCAAACCACCACCACCACCACAACCAACACCACCCACCACCACAACCACCACCACCACCACAACCACCACCACTGCCACCACCACCCACCACCACCACCACAACAAACCACCACACACCACCACCACCACCACCACTAAGCACAACCACAACCACAACCACCGCAACAAACCACCACCACCACAACCACCACCACCGCCAACACCACCGCCACCACCACCCCAACCCACCACCACAACCACAACCACCACCACCACAACCACCACGACAAACCACCACATCACCACCGCCTCCGCCACCACCACCTTAACCCACCACCGCCACAACTACCACAACCACCACCAGAAACCACCGCACCACCACCACCACCGCCACCATCAGCAACACCACCACAACCTGCCACCCCAACCACCACAACAACCACCACCACCAACCACACCACCACCACCACCACCACCGCCACAACCACCACCACCACCACAGCCCACCACCACCACCACCACCACCACCACCACGTCGGAGAGGCCCCATAGAGTCGCCCAAAAGGCGCCCAGGAGGCTGCACAAATGCCCTTCAGAGGCCCCCGAAAGCGTTCCGACGAGACCGCCAAGAGGCATCCATTAGGACGGTGACCCAACATGAAGGCACGGTGGCGGAGCGTCGTCGTCGTCGTCATCGTCGTCGCCGTCGTCCTCGTCGACGCTCCCCGCAGCCGCCGCCCGCGTCGCAGGCGCCGGCGCCGGCCCAGAAAAGGAAGTCGTCGTCCCCGCCGCAGCCGCCAGCCGCCGCCGACGCATGCGCCAGGCCGAGGAGAGGGAGAGAGGAGAAGTAGGGGAAGAAAGCGAGGGGAGGGGGAGGGGGGGTCCGGGGAGGGGCGGTCCGGTTCCCCCCCCCCCCCCCCTCCAAGCGACCACAGAATGCGCTCCTTCATATATTTATATGTATGTATATGGATGCGCATGTACGTATGTATGTGTGTCTGTATGTGTGTGTATGTACTTATGTACGTACGTATGTATACATGTATGAATGTAGGTATGTATGTACTGGACCACTCACTGCAAACACACATGCTGGAACACCCGCAGTGCTCATGTGCTCCCAGAAGTACGCAGTAATCACGCAGGAATGACCAATATAGAAACGGAGATGTAAGCACACAGAAGTGTGTGAAGGAAGGACATACATCTTCAATAACAGAACAGCGCCGAGCGCTGCATACGAGTGAAAGAACAGCGCCATGCGCCCGCTCTGAAGCACTACAGCGCGCCGCGCTGAGCGAGGCAAGCGCGCGGGGTGGCATGGCGAGCCAGATGCAGCTGAGCATGGCAGGCCACGCGGACAAAAAAACAGCGACAGGCGCTGCGTGGCGCAGCGGTTACCTGCGAGGTGCGATGCGACCGCGCCGAGCGCTGCGTGACGGGACAGCACCGCGCGCTGAAGGACCCCATGCCATTTCGGATGCGAATACTTGTCGTCAGTTGCATGTTTCGTCGTGACCTCCCAGGAGCCAACGAAAATGGTGACAACTGCGCACTTCGCAGCCACGCTGCGAGCCGCGAGGTCCCAACTGGATCCCCGTGCAATTCCACTCCGCTGGAACTCCCAGGAGGCCACGAAAGTGGAGACAATTGCGCACTTCGCAACCACGAAGGGATCCGCGAGGTCCCAACTGGGCCTGCGTACCACTCCACTCCGCTGGACCTCCCAGGAGCCCACGAAAGTGGAGACAACTGCGCACTTCGCAGCCACGCAGGGAGCCGCGGGGTCCCAAACGGGTCTGTGTACCACTCCACTCCGCTGGACCTCCTGGGAGCCCACAAGAAGTGACGATAGCTGCGCATTTCGCAGCCACCCAGAAACCGCGAGGTCCCAACTGGCCCTGCGTACCACTTCACTCCGCTGGACCTCCCAAGGGCCCACGAGAGTGGAGACAATTGCGCACTTCGCAACAACTCCACTGGTAGCCCACGAACATGGCGACAACTGCGCACTTCGCAGCCACGCTGCGAGCCGCGAGGTCCCAACTGGGTATCCGTACCACTCCACTCCGCTGGACCTCCCAGGAACCAGCGAAAAAGGAGACAATTGCGCACTTCGCAACCATGCTGCGAGCCGCGAGGTCCCAACTGGGTCTGCGTACCACTCCACTCCGCTGGACCTCCCAGGAGCCAACGAATAATTGGCGACAATTGCGCAATTCGCAACCACGCAAGGAGTCGCGAGGTCCCAACTGGGTCTGCGTACCTCTCCACTCCGCTGGACCTCCTGGGAGTCCCAAGAACGTGACAACAGCTGCGCACTTCTCAACCACGCAAGGAGTCGCGAGGTCCTAACTGGTCCTGCGTACCACTTCACTCCGCTGGACCTCCCAAGGGCCCACGAAAATGGCGACAGCTGCGCACTTCGCAGCAACTCAGAAACCGTGAGGTCCCAACTGGATCCATGTGCAGCTCCACCCCGCTGGACCTCCCAAGAACTCACGAAAGTGGCGAAGGCTGCGCACTTCGCAGCCACGCTGCGAGCCGCGAGGTTCAAAGTGGGTCTGCGTACCACTCCACTCCACTGGACCTCCCTGGAGCCGACGAAATTGACGACAATTGCGCCGTTCGCAACCACGCAGGGAGGCAGGAGGTCCCAACTGGGTCTGCGTACCACTCCACTCCGCTGGACCTCCCAGGAACTCACGAACGTGGCTGCAATTGCGCAATTCGCAACCACGCAGGGAGCCGCGAGGTCCCAAGTGGGTCTGTGTACCACTTCACTCCGCTGGACCTCCCAGGAGCCCACGAAAGCAGCGACGGTTGCGAAAGTCGCAGCCACCTGCCAGGAGCCCACGAACAATTGGCAACAATTGCGCAATTCGCAACCACGCAAGGAGTCGCGAGGTCCCAACTGGGCCTGCGTACCACTCCACTCCGCTGGACCTCCCAGGAGCCCAAGAAAGTGGCGACAACTGCGCACTTCGCAGCCACGCTGCGAGCCGCGAGGTCCCAACTGGGTAACTGTATCACTCCACTCCGCTGGACCTTCCAGGAGCCTACGAAAGTGGCGACAGTTCGCACTTCGCGGACACGCAGGGAGCC